TTTACCTAAAAATATGTCTAGTCAGGAGAAGCAGATTTTGACTAACCTGACGGGTTTTGAGATTGTTAATAAGGTAAAATATTTGGGGGTGATGTTGTCTGTTTCTAATGTAAAATTATTTAAAAATAATTATGAAAGGTTGTGGGTCAGGGTACAGAAGGACTTGAAGAACTGGGAAAAGTTGCAATTATCCCTCATGGGAAGAATTGCAGTGATAAAAATGAATATTTTACCCAAGTTTCTTTTTCTGTTTCAAATGTTACCAATTTTGAAAAATGAGATTAATTTAAATGAGTGGCAGAAGGGTCTTAATAAATTTATCTGGGCAGGGAAAAAGCCAAGGGTTAAGTTTAAAATTATGCAAGACTTCCGTGAGAGGGGTGGACTTAAGGTACCAAATTTGAAATTATATTATGATGCGGTGGTTTTAACACTAATCAGTGATTGGGTAAATTTGACAAATTCTGAGATACTTTATCTAGAGGGATTGGATTTACTTTATGGGTGGCATGCCTATTTAATATTCAATAAAAAAATGGATTGGGCTTTTAAATCTCATATCTTAAGAATTTCTTTACTTAGGATTTGGAGAAAATATTATAAAAGTGATTTCAAAGTACCATTATGGGCTATACCTTGGCATGCGATAGAAGCAATAAAAAGAGGGGTTAAAATGGATATGGTGTCTTACAGACAGTTACTTAAATGGGATGGACAAAACTGGCAATTAAAATCACGGGAAGAGTTAGCGCAAGAAAACCTTATTTATTCTTGGTTCCAATATAGGCAATTATTAGACAGATGGAAGATGGATTGTAAGGTGGGTTTTCTTAGAGAAGATGAAAATCTTATTAAGCAAGTGAAGGATTCAAGACAAACCCACATTAAGAGAATTTATGCGGTTTTAGTTGAATTGGATTCAGAAACGGAACTAATTAAAGATTGTATGATAAGATGGGCGCAGAATTTTGGTGAGCCAGTCTCATTGGACACCTGGGAAAATATTTGGGTGAGAAATGTCAAATTTACACAAGCACAGAACTTAAGGGAGAATTTTTATAAAATGTTTTATAGATGGCACCTTGATCCACAAAAAATGTCTTATATGTACCCTGACGTGCAACCCAAATGTTGGAGATGTGGTTATAAGGAGGCTTCCTATTATCATATTTGGTGGTCATGCAGAGAGATAAAAGCATTTTGGATCAAAATATGGTGGAATATCCAGAGAATTTTTAGAAGGAGGGTAAAATTTACTCCGCAATTATTTTTGTTAGGTATTGTTACAGATTGTGATACAAAGGAGGTTGTATTGATGTTAAATTTGATTACAGCCGCTAGGCTGTTAGTAGGACAATATTGGAAGAAGGAATCTTTGCCTACATTGCAGGAATGGTTTCTTAAAGTAGCTTATCTGGCGGAAATGGCAAAGATTTCGGCTTTCTTAAAGCAACAAACGCAAGAGAAGTTTCTTGCTGTTTGGGATAAATGGATAAAATTTATACAATTTAGATTGGGTATACAAAAATATTATATAGTTTTTTCATAAGTTTTATTTTTATATATATTATAGATAATCTTTTTATATATATAAATATAAAGTTCTTAATTTAATTTTTATTTTTACTTCTTAAGCCTATATTCTGCTCTGGGAAGCTCAGGGGGGGGGAAGGGAGGGGGGGTTTTTTTGGGAGGGGTGGGGGGTTTTTTTTTATATATATGTATTGTTTAGTTTTATTTTTTTGTATATGTTGTCTCTTGTTTTGTATTCTTTTTTCTTTTTTGTAAAATTTATAAAACTTTTAATAAAAAAAAAAAAATAAGATTTCTTTCACTTGCCTTTAACTCGGCTGTCATGTAAGCAAGTGAACTGTGGGATAATTGAGGAAGATATATATTTTTTTTACTGGCCTCTGACACATTTGTGAACCCGTTGTGTTTTTGTTTTGTTTTTTTAGCTGGGTGTCTAGCAATAAATGAGGGTTGGCATCGAAGCTGCTTTAGCTGCTGTTGCTGCTTTTTTTTCCTTTTTCTGTTTTTGATCCTGCTGACATAGATTTGCAGGCCGAGAAGTAGGCGCTGCTGACAGTTCAATTGTGTGATTGTCACGATCTGTGCCACTTTGGGAGCAACTGACGCGTCTCATCTTAAGACGTGTCTGTGACACCCTCCCATCCCTTGGCTGGCTGGTCAGACGTTCCTTCCTGAGAATTTCTGTCAGGGGAGCCCCCGACTTAAAAAACTCAAAGGTTGAATATCGTGGACATATTTTTAGGGGTAGGTTGTCCATTCACATGAAAGACAAGAAATGTACGTATGTATGTATCTTACCAGTTCACATGAAAAATAAGGAATATCTGTCTATCTGTCTATCTATCTATCTATCTATCTATCTATCTATCTATCTATCTATCTATCTATATGTTAATTCACATGAAAAACAATATATATACTGTATTTTCCGCGTATAAGACGACTTTCTATCTAAACCAGGCAAATCTTCTCTGAAGTCGGGGATCGTCTTATATGCCAAGTTGTCTTATACGCCAGAAAATACTATATTTTCCAGCATATAAGATGACTTTCTAACCATGCAAATCTTCTCTGAAGTCGGGAGTCGTCTTATACGCCGAGTCTTATACGCTGGAAAATACAGTATGTATATATATATATATATATATATGTGTATATATATATATATATATATATATATATATATATATATATATATATATATATTGTTAATTCACATGAAAAACAAGGAATATATATGTTATTAGTTCACATGAAAAACGGCTGGGGAACTCTGGGAGTTGAGGTCCACCCATCGTAAAACAGGCTGGCTGGGGAACTCTGGGAGTTGGTCCACCCATCTTAAAGCATGCTGGCTGGGCAATTCCAGGAAATGGAAGTCCACTTATCTTAAAGCAGACCGGTTGGGGAATTCTGGGAGTGGAAGTCCACACAACTTAACGTTCCACGTTTGAGTAACTCTGGTCTGGACACTGAACAAAATAATCCTAATTTTGGTATGGCTGCTTTCCAGCAAGCAGCAAAAGAAACATCTGGCAATTTCAGTGGGAAAATTAGCAAACAGCTTATTTCTTTGAGCAAATGCGTTCTTATTTTCCATGAACGGGCTGGTTTTAAACTCTCCTTCATGACGAAAATGTGCCCTTTCAAAACCTTTGTGTGGCGTGGAGCTTGTTCTGCCTGCAACTTTAATCCAAACCAAATGCTTATTTTTTCCAGATGTTAACAACTCAGGACATAAATAGAATGTGTCCCTTTAAATGAAGGCGGAACCATGTAGAGGAGGCGGGCCATGCCCAGAACTGTGATGCTTGATTGGCTGGCTGGACCTCAAACGTATTTGGTAGCTGACAAATTTAAAGGCAAATGACAATGACCTGAATGAGATTGATTTGGAAAATCTAAAATTTGGCTCTCTTTACAGCCAACAGTTTATAAAAAGAACCCTGGAATCCAGGTTGCATAAAATTGTTTTGTAAATTAAAGTTTTGGTCCATACAGGGAGCCCTCGACTTACGACCATAACTGATCCAGAATTACATTTATAAAGTCACGCTAGTTATTTATCAAGTTGTCCCATGACCAACTCAATTTTGTGACCTTTTTTTTGCCACAGTCTTTAAGTGTATCCACAGTCACTAAGTGAACATGACACTTGTTAAGCGAATCCATTGCCCACAATGGGCAGGGGTTTTTTTTGGTTTGTTTGTTTTGCTAAAAACTAGAAGCAGGAATTGGTTTTCGGCACACACATGAAAATGTCAGAAATTGCGGTCATATGACTGAGGGACACTGCAAAATGTCTGTAAGTGCAGGCTGGTTTCGAAGTGCCCAAATACACAATCAGAACTTTGAATCTCTGTCGTAAGAACCGTTTTTTGGGGGAGTCCGTCATAACTTTGAACAGCTGCTAAGCGAGCGGTCGTAACTTGGGGATTACCAGTTTGGAAATATCTGTTTATTTATCTAATTTATACAGCTGCACATCTCACCAAAAGCAACTCTGGGTAGGAGGCGTATCAGAAATCTGTCACATATCGTCCGACTTATGACCAAAATGGAACCCAAAATTTCTGTTGCTAAGTGAGACGGTGGTTAAGTGAGTTTTGCTCCATTTTACGACCTTTCTTGTCACAGTTTTTAAGTGAATCTGTGCAGTTATTAAATTAGTAACACGGTCATTAAGTAAGTTTGGTTTCCCCCTGGACTTTGCTTGATAGAACATTGCAAAACATGACACTACAACCGTCATAAATATGAGTCAGTTGCCAAGCTCCTCAATTTTTGATCATCTGTCCACAACGGTCATAAAGTGTGAAAAATGGTCATCAGTCACTTTTTGGAGTGACTTTATTAATTTACAGTCACTAAATGAACGGTTGTAAATTGAAGATTGCCTTGACATGCCAATATTTTTTTTCCTTGTTATTTTTAGAGCGCTGCTAAGTACAATTTTTTTCTTTAAAAATATGTATTTGAAATCTCTTCTCCACCCCACCCCCCGCCACTTTGCATGTCTGTCTCCTCTTTTGATTTTTTTATTCCAGAGCTGACATATTCCCCCCCCCCAGCCTGCAGGCTAAAAAAAATAATAATAATAACCTGTGGGGTTTTTTTGTTGACTACTGGTCTATTTTTTCCATAAATGCTCCCATCAGATACAATTCCATCAAGTACTTTATTGACCTCTCTTTTTCTCTCTCTTGCCTTTTTTTTTTTTTTCAATATAAAGAGTTAAGGAGAAGCATGCAAATTGGTGTGGTAAGAGCACACACGCAAGAAAAGGGGGGAAAAATTCAGAAATTGCTAAAGAGCGTCCAAAAATTTCTTAAAGCAGGTTTTTTTCCCCCAATCTTGGCAGCTTCAAACTTAAGGGAATCAACCTTTTTTTTTTTTTGTAGAAATGCTACCCACCAAGTTTAATCAACTTTTTTTTTTATTTTATCCTATTTTTGCTTGCCTTTCAGTCTTTCCAGGGAAGTCAAGGGCGAGCCTATCTCTTCAATTCAGTGTGAGTGTTTTGTGCTTTTGTTTTTAAAGTGCTGTGGTTGTTGATCTTCATAAAATATCTCACCGTGTAGCTTCTCAGTGACAAAGTTAGCCAATAGAGAGGACTGCAATAGTTTGAACCTTGTTCTGGTTTTTAACACTATCTGTAGCTAGAGGACTAAAATAAAACTTTCAGACGGTGTTACTCTTTTTCGCTTGCCTTGCTGACAGTAGAGAATAATAGAGGTGGAAGGGAACTTGAAGGTCTTCTAGTCCAACCCCCTGCTGAAGCAGGAGACCTTATACCAGGGGTCTTCCAACTTGGCCCTTTTATGACTTGTGGACTTGAACTCCCAGAATTCCTCAGCCAGGCACTCTGGCTGAGGAATTCTGGGAGTTGAAGTCCACAAGTCATAAAAGGGCCAAGTTGGAAGACCCCTAGTCTGGATCCAAACCCGCAGTTTCATCAAAATGGCCGACTGAGGAATTCTGGGAGTTGAAGTCCACAAGTCGTCAAAGGGCCAAGTTTGAAGACCCCTGCCTTTTACCATCCCCGTCAAATGGTTATCCAGTCTACTTTTGATAATCTTCATTGATGGAGCACCCACAACTTCTGGTGGCAAGTAGTTCCACCGGTGAATTGTTCTCACTCTCAAAGAAATTTCTCCTTATTTCTAGGTTGCTTCTCTCCTTGATTACTTTCGATTCACTGAATCTTCTCAAAAGCCCAGAGAGTTGAAACGTTGGTTTGAATGAGCCTATCTCCTCATGAGGGTGTGATTTTGGGGGGGGGGGTATTTTCTTTTTTTAAATTTGGGGGGGACATGTAGTTTTCCATGATTTGAACAAAGGCCAGGATACCTATACAGAATAGAGTTGTCTTTATCATGGAAACCTTGATAAGCTGCCTTACCGCAATATTTCTCAAACTTTGCAGCTTTAAGATATGTGGACTTCAGTTTCCAGAATTGTGGTCAAACTGGCTAAGGAATTCTGGGAGTTGAAGTCCCCATGGCTTAAAGTTGCCATGTTTGAGAAGCGTTAACCTACAGCAGGGGTCTCCAAACTTGACAACTTTAAGACTTTAAAACCTGGCCCTTTTATGAGTTGTGGACTTCAACTGGCTGGGGAATTCTGGGAGTTGAAGTCCGCAAGTCTTAAAATTTGCCAAGTTTGGGAACCCCTGCCCTATAGGTATAACCCCAAGATTGCCAACAGCTGGTTCAATGCAATCTTTTCCAATCTGAGATGCGAGACATTTTCTACAGAATTTAGTTTTTCGTTGAAAAATTTCATGAGATTACGAGAAACTAGGCCACCCCAGGCCTAGATAAATGAAGCCATGACATTAACAATGGAAAAAGTGACAAGCTATTCCTGTGTGCCTTTCCTGTACAGGTCATCCTTGTTTAACAACCACCGTTTGGTCTGGCAACATGGTCGTTAAGGAGAGTGGCCACTAAGTGGAATCGCGACTCTGGTTTATGACGTTGCTTCTGCTTTTCTTTGCTTTCTGGACCTGAGGAGGTCATAAATGCAAAGATTGGTGGCAAAGTTAATCTATTTGCCATTTGTCTGAAATGGTATAGTAGGCTTTCTTGATTGAGCAGGGGGTTGGACTAGAAGACCTCCAAGGTCCCTTCCAGCTCTGTTATTCCTTTGTTCGTATTTATTAAATTTGTTTGCTGCCCACCTCGCTGCAAGGTGAGGTTATTTTCTATCGTGGTTGCAACTGACAGCCGTCGTTAAACAAGGCAGTTGCTAAATGAGGACTGTATCCAAGAACAGGACACACCTAGAAGATTTCCTACAGATTGTCATGTAGTCTCTCACTTATTTGCTAGATTTCTGCCCCAGAATTCCTCAAAGGTGTAGTAGCACTTCTTTCTCCTATTTGCCCCACGACAACCCAGCGAGGTAGATTGGGCCGATTGTCCCACAGTCATTCCCTGAGGGTCTTCCCACTCCTTTATCCAGCCTACTCACCCAAATATATGCAATGATTAGGAAGTAAAACTCTTAACCTGAAGCACAACCCAAGATTGTCACGTTTTCCCAAACGGTGAAATCTTCTCTGCCCCCCCCCCCACAAAAAAATAGGGTGTTACAATGATCCTTATCTTTTGAAATAAACAAATACTGTGTAATTTTGACATCTTGTGAAATCTGGGGCAACACCGTGCCAGGTGTGAGGTCCCCCATTACACACAAGCCCTTTCGGTAACATTCAGATATTTAATTCATTTTATCTGGGATGTCCATGGTTATCTTGGGTGCTGGGTGTCAACTCACAATGTATCCTGGCTGTACATTATGTGTGTGTAACCTACTAGTAATAAAAGCCATCTGTGAGATATCTCGACATTAAATAGGGTTGTTCTGGGAGACATGGATGATTTCAGCCACCTTGGTAAAATGTGTCTTCAAAAGTGACATTTTTAATATATTTCTGTAATATACACCCTGGAGCAGTGTTATTATCCTTGTCACAGATTGTCAAGTATTACCAAAGGTATTCCAGAGCGGTGTTCCTCAACCGTGGTGACTTTCAAAGGTGTGGACTTCAACTCCCAGAATTCCCCAGCCAGCATGGCTGGGGAATTCTGGGAATTGAAGTCCTCACTTCATAAAGTGATCGAATTTGAGAAACACTGCTCTGGCATATATTTGGTAATATTTGACAATTCTGTGACAAGGATAATCACTTGCTCCTTCAGGGAATTTAACTTGGAAATCTCTTTGTGTTTAAAAATTAAGCTTCTCTCTCTCTCTCTCTCTCTCTCTCTCTCTCTCTCTCTCTCTCTCTCTCTCTCTTCCCATCCCCATCCTCAGAGTCAACGTGGGCTGCGGTCCGGCGGAGGAGCGAATTCTGCTAACGGGACTCCATGCGGTGGCTGATATTTACTGTGAAAATTGCAAAACCACACTGGGTTGGAAATATGTGAGTGGTGATGGTTTGCTTCTTATTCTGTTATCAGATTTTTATAATAATAATAACAATAGTAATAGTAATAGTAATAATAATAATAAAGTTGGAAGGGACTTTGGAGGTCATCTAGTCCAACCCCCTGCTCAGGCAGGAAACCCTACACTATTTCAGATAAATGGCTGTCCAGTCTCTTCTTAAAAACCTCCAGTGATGGAGTGCCCACAATTTCTGGTGGCAAGCTGTTCCACTGGTTAATTGTCCTCACTGTTAGGAAGTTTCCCCTCAGTTCCAGGTTGTTTCTCTCCTTGATTAGTTTCCATCCGTTGCTTCTTCTCCTGCCTTCAGCCGCTTTGGAGAGTAGCTTCACTCCCTCTTCTTTGGGGTAGCCCCCCCCTTTTTTTTTTGTCCTGGCTTTCAACCTGCAGGGAGTTGATACACGTAAACCTCGAGTTACGATCCCAGCTGAGCCCAGAATTCATGTTGCGAAGTGAGGAAATTGTTGTGAGTTTTGCCTCTTTTTATGACCTTTTTTGCCTCAGTTGTTAAGCGAATCACTACAACTGTTAAGTTAGTCACACGGTCATTAAGTGAATCTGGCTTCCCCCACTGACTTTGTTGGTCAAAAGGTCGCAAAGGGGGGGGTCACGTGACCCCGGGACTCTTCAACCATCATAAATATGAGTCACTTGCCAAGCATCTGAATTTTGATCCACGTGACCACGGGGATACTGCAACGATTATATAAGTGTGAAAAATGATCTTAAGTCACTTTTTTCAGTGACTTTGAACGGTCGCTAAATCAACTGTTATAAGCCGAGGACAACCTGTGCTTAATTTTCTCTGATGGTTTCCAAGGAGCTACAGTAGTGGCCAAAATTGTGGAAACCTTTTGGGAAAAGTGTACAGTAGAAATGTCCTCCTATCAACTTCATTACATGACATCAATAACTGGATCCTACCATGATCTAATTGGCTCATGGCCAAAGCAAGATGACACCTGATTGGCTCTCTAAACACCCTTGCTGATTGGCTACAATCAGATGAAGGAAAGCTACCTGATATCAACCTAAGCCAGGGGTAGGCCACCTTGGCTCTTTTATGACTGGTGGACTTCAACTCCCAGAATTCCTGAGCCAGCCATGCTGAGGAGAAATGGAGAGGTTTTCAAACTGAGCTGTGCTGGCTCAGGAATTCTGGGAGTTGAAGTCCACAAGTCATGAAGGGGCCAAAGTTCCCCCATGCTGGCTCAGGAATTCTGGGAGTTGAAGTCCACAAGTCATGAAGGGGCCAAAGTTCCCCCATGCTGGCTCAGGAATTCTGGGAGTTGAAGTCCACGAGTCATAAAAGAGCCAAGGTTGCCTACCCCTGACCTAAGCAAGTTGTGCTTCCGTTTTCTGGTTATCTGGCTATACCTTTTCACAGAACACAGTATAGATAACTGAACAAACTTCGTTGCATTACATTCTTGATTAAATTATCTTTCCATTGGTATATAATTTTATGGTACTACTCCCCCCAAAAAAGTGTTGTTATTAACCATCAAACCTCAAAAATACACTTTTCCCAAAAGGTATCCATAATTTTGGCCACCACTGTATTATCAGCCATCAATCTGAGTAAGCTTAATTGCAGCAGCGATGTAATCCTATTAAGCAATTAAGATGACACTAAAAAAAGGCAACGGAAGGATAAAGGTCATAGAGAAGGGGAGGCAGTGGGTCAGCCATTCAGTAACTGAGTTTCAACGTGCATGGGATAAACACATGTTCATCGTCCAAGAGAAAATTAAAATAAAAAAATGACATACAGGCCGTCCTGGACTTACAATGGTTTATTTAGTGACCGTTTGGAGTTATAACGGCATTGAAAATAGTGACCTATGACTTACAACCATCGCAGCACCCCCATAGTTGCGTGATTAAAATTCAGACACTTGGCAACTGAATAAAATAGAATATAAATAGAGTAGAGTAGAGTAGAATAGAATAGAATAGAATAGAATAGAATAGAATAGAATAGAATAGAATAGAATAGAATAGAATAGAATAGAATAGAATAGAGCTGGAAGGGACCTTGGAGGTCTTCTAGTCCAGCCCCCTGCTCAACCAGGAGAACCTATACCACTTCAGACAAGAGTCCGTTTAGTCTCTTCTTAAAAACCTCCAGTGATGGAGCGCCCACGATTTCTGGAGGCAAGCTGTTCCACTGGTTAATTGTCCTTACTGTCAGGAAGTTTCTCCTTAATTCCAGGTTGCTTCTCTCCTTGATCAGCTTCCAACCATTGTTTCTCGTCCTTCCCTCTGGTGCTTTGGTGAACATATGAAGAACAATGGCAGGATTTGGTTATGGCTTGTCTAGAGAAAAGAAGGACCAGGGGTGACATGATAGAGTATTCCAATATTTGAGGGGCTGCCACAAATAAGAGGGGGGGGGATCAACCTTTTCTCCAAAGCATCAGGACAAGAAGCAACGGATGGAAACTGACCAAAGAGAGAAGCAGGTTAAAACTAAGCGGAAATTTCCTGACAGTGAGAACAGTTAACCAGTGGAACGACTTGCCTCCAGAAGTTGTAGGTGCTCCATCACTGGAAGTTTTTAAGAAGAGACTGGACAGCCACATGTCTGAAATATATAGAATCTCTTTCTTGAGGAGGGGGTTGGACTGGAGGACCTCCACGGTCCCTTTCACCTTTATTCTGATTAATTGAGGTGGTTGTCAAATGCCCATAAAATGATCACATAACTATGGGGGAGATGCAGCATCATAACTTTGGCAATAGGTCGTAAGTAGCTTTTTTGGGGAGGGGGGTGTCATAATTTCAAAAGTTGCTAAACAATCAGTTGTAAGTCTAAGTCTACTTGTAAAAACAAGCTTCGTTCTGGGTTTCTGCAGAAGAGACTCTTTCAGACGGCCCAGGGGCGCTGTGTCTCCTTCAGAGCTGTGATATTTTAAGAAAATATGTTATTTTCACCATTTACATTGGTGGCTTTTCACACTTACACAACATGTTTTCCCATATAAGCTCCTTGCTGCTCTGGAAACTCTAGCAAGGTAACCCTTTGCTATGCTGCAAGTAGTCCTCAACGTACGACCATAATGAAGTCCAAAATTTCTATTGCTAAGCGGGACAATTATTAAGCGAGTTTTGCCCTCACTTTATGACCTTTCTTGACACAGTTGTTAAGTCAATTGCTGCTGTGGTTAGGCTAGTCCAGGGGTAGGCAACCTTGGCTCTTTTATGATTCATGGACTTCAACTCCCAGAATTCTTGACCAGGTTGGCTCAGCTTGGAAACCTCTCCATTTCTCCTCAGCGTGGCTGGCTCAGGAATTCTGGGAGTTGAAGTCTACCCCTCTCAAAATGGCCTAGGCTCTAGGTTGAGAAAACACTGCCCTAGGCCAGGGGTAGGCAACATTGGCTCTTTTATGACTCGTGGACTTCAACTCCCAGAATTCCTGAGCCAGCCATGCTGAGGGGAAAGGGAGAGGTTTCCATGCTGAGCTATATTGGCTCAGGAATTCTGGGAATTGAAGTCCACAAGTCATAAAAGAGCCAAGGCTGCCTATCCCCTGCCATAGATTGAGGAAGAGTAATTTAGACTCGGTACAGAAACCCAGATTAAACTATCCTAAATAAATGGCTACAGGTCGTCCTCGATTTACGACCATAATTTGAGCCCAACACCTCTGTTGTTAAGTGAAACATTTCTTAAGTGGGTTTTGCCCCATTTTACAACCTTGCCACAGTGGTTAAGTCAAGGGTCTTCAAACTTGGCCCTTTTATGACTCATGGACTTCAACTCCCAGAATTCCTGAGCCAGCCATGCTGAGGAGAAATAGAGAGGTTTCCATGCTGAGCCAGGCTGACTCAGGAATTCTGGGAGTTGAAGTCCATGAGTCATAAAAGAGCCAAGGTTGCCTACCCCTGGCCTAGATCAGTAGTAGGCAACCTTGGCTCTTTTATGACTGGTGGACTTCAACTCCCAGAATTCCTGAGCCAGCCATGCTGAGGAGAAATGGAGAGGTTTCCATGCTGAGCCAGGCTGGCTCAGGAATTCTGGGAGTTGAAGTCCATGACTCATAAAAGGGCCAAGGTTGCCTACCCCTGGGTTAGGTTAAGTGAATCTTGCTTCCCCATTGACTTTACTTGGCAGAAGGTTGCCAAAGGGGAATCACATGACCCCAGGACCCTTCAACTGTCGTAAGTCCATGCCAGTTGCCAAGCATCTGAATTTTGATCACCTGACCACAGGAATGTTGCAACGGGTCGTAAGTGTGAAAAACGATCCTAAGTCCCTTTTTTCAGTGCTGTTGTAACTTTGCATGGCTATTAAACCAATGGTTGTAAATCGGGGACTACTGGTATAACAATCCCATGGGGTCTTGGGGCAAAAGCTGGCAAATAACAGCTTGTCATTTTAAGGAGTCCTTCTCCATCCTTCTCTTTGGAGCGCCTAAAATAAAAACCAAGGCTTAGCATTACAGCAAGGCCCTAGAGTTTCGCTACAGTATTCATTCATTATTCAGTTCAAATATTTATAGTGTGCCCTAGATCGATACATCTCAGGGCAAGGTGCAATCAATAGAGAATAAAAGCAGAACAGGATAAAAAGCAACCTCGCTCACACACACACACAAAAATACATCAAACTTTCTCAATTCGAGAACCATCCAGATGGGCTGGTCTTCAACTCCCGGATGGAGAGAAGATGGTGGGATCAGATATTTTCATTGAAACAACAAAATTAGTGTCGTGATGTAAGTGTGCCGCTCCTCTAGGTGTGACATCGCAACACGCACACAAAGAGCAGCAGAGTTTATTGTGAGACCTTTGTGCCATCCTTGACAGGATGTTGAGAATTGGAGAAGAAAGGATGTATTAGATTTTTTTCCCCCAAACCTGGCAACTTTTAAGATGTGTGGACTTCAATTCCCAGAATTCCCCAGCCAGCATGTGTGGACTTTAACTTCCAGAATTCCCAAGCCAATATACGTGGACTTCAACTCCCAGAACTTTCCATGGCTGGCTGAGGAATTCTGGGAGTTGAAGTCCTCTCATCTTAAAGTTGCCAAGTTTGAAAACACTGTGTTAGATCAAATGGTGCTAGGACCAAAATGTGCTTAAATATATTATCCGGTTTTCAATTTCCACTAAAATTAAGCCAAAGCTGACAATATTATGCTCTGGACCAGGGGTCTTCAAACTTGGCCCTTTTCTGACTTGTGGACTTCAACTCCCAGAATTCCTCAGTCAGGCACGCGTGCCTGGCTGAGGAATTCTGGGAGTTGAAGTCCACAAGTCAGAAAAGGGCCAAGTTTGAAGACCTCTGCTCTGGACATTCCAAAATCTCCTAACTGCTATGACCAAAAAACTTTCCTCTTTTGCATCCTTAATATACTGGTGTCAGGGCTGAAATGGAGCAGAAAATTCTTCAAGCAGGACTTAATATTTAATATAGCTTATACTGTATAGTTGGTCCTCAACTTTCAACCATTTAGGAACTGTTTCAACTTACAATGGCATGGGAAAATGATTTAGGACTGGTCCTTTCAGTTATGATATCACAGCATCCCCTGGTCACATGATCAAAATTCGGACTCTTGAATTGACATGTATTTATGACGGGCGCAAAGTCCTGGATTCACGTGGTCTCCTTTTGTGACCTTCTGACAAGCAACGTCAATGGGGGAGGCAGATTCACTTAAGAACCAGGGGAGTCACTTAACAACTGCAGTGATTCACTTAACAACTGTGGCAAGAAAGGTCGTAAAAGGGGGCAAACCTGATTTAACCAATGTCTCACTTAGCAACAGAAATTTTGGGCTCAATTAAGGGCGTAAGTTGAGGACTCCCTGTAGTGTAACCAAAAATGCTATCTGCATTGTCAACATCATAGATTTTTTCAGGAATTAACCCATCATCCTGTTGATCCTGTTAACAGAGGGACAGAATCAAGATCATGTGAAGTGTTAATACCACTTTACAAGGCCTTGGTAAGGCCATACTTGGAATACGGCATCCAGTTTTGGTCACCACAATGTAAAAAAGATGTTAAGACTCTAGAAAGAGTGCAGAGAAGAGCAACAAAGATGATCAGGGGGTTGGAGGCTAAAACCTATAAGGAACGGTTGCTGGAATTGGGTATGTCTAGTTTAATGAAGAGAAGGACGAGGGGGGACATGATAGCAGTGATCCAATATCTCAGGGACTGCCCCAAAGAAGAGGGAGTCAAGCTATTCTCCAAAGCACCTGAAGGCAGGACAAGAAGCAAAGGATGGAAACTCATCAAGGAGAGAAGCAATCTAGAACTAAGGAGAAACTTCCTGACAGTGAGAACAATTAACCACCTGCCTCCAGAAGCGGTGAATGCTCCAACACGGGAAGTTTTTAAGAAGAGACTGGACAGCCATTTGTCTGAAATGGTGTAGGGTTTCCTGCCTGAGCAGGGGTTTGGACTAGATGAACTCCAAGGTCCCTTCCAACTTTATTATTATTATTATCTTGGACTGAAGACATGTGTGCAGTCTCTATGCACAGATTAATTCAGTCTAGAATGAATAAACTCTTGATTCCTGTTTGGGGTTCCTGTCAGGAATCTAGTGGTGATTTCATGAGATAATTCAATTGAGCCCAGACTTATCTGAAATAATAACCTCTCTTGAACAAGCATGCCCATCTAAAGCCCTAGTCATCCTTTCATTACCTCTTCTCTGCCATGGCTCTGATCTCAAATATGTTTTAATATCCTGATTTTTTTTTTTAAAAAAAATAAAGGATCCAAACAGGTATCAGGCTATGAAGGGAATCAGGAAATGGAAACTGATATATGAACACGTCAGATCAGCACATCTAAAGAAAAAAAGGAACAGAGAACCATTGTCTGAGTTAAAAAACAGCAATTTCTAAATGAATGTTAGAAAAAAAAGTTTCTGAAGGCAAGATAAGAAGCAAAGGATGGAAACTAATCCAGGAGAGAAGCAACCTAGAACTAAACTTCCTGTTAGAACAATTAACCAGTGGAACAACCTGCCTCCAGAAGTTGTGAATGCTCCAACATTGGAGGTTTTTTAAAAAAGAGATTGGATAACCATTTGTCCGAAATGGTATAGGATTTCCTGCCTGAGCAGGGGGTTGGACTAGATGACCTCCAAGGTTCCTTCTAACTTTATTATTATTATTATTATTATTATTATTATTATTATTATTGATCATCGCACAGTCAACCAGATGTTCAGACTGGATTTGGCATTTTGTCTACCTATCGAGTCCTTACCGAGGACCTGGGATAGGCAGATGTGGATGTTTGATGGTATTACAGATATTGTCACAAGATGGAAGCAGTTCCTAGTAAGGCCGCCTTTTGCAATTGACTAATGGTAAATTTGTCAATGCCATTATTATTATTATTATTACTATTATTATTATTATTATTATTATTATTAAATACATGTACTCAGACATTATGCTGTTTGCTAAATGTTATTTGGAAAAACCCTAACCCCAACTCCAATCCCGACCCCACCTTATCCCTAACCCTATAAAAACTAATAAAATCTATAAAAAAAGGAAAAATGATCCTTCCAAACCCCCACCCTTCTAATCCCTCTCTAGCCCCCCCTCACCATCCTGGCAGAACCCGATGAAGCTTCTTGGAATGAGAAGTGAAACCTCTTCTTCCTCCTCCTCAAAGGGGGAAAAAAAACCCAGTCCAGTTGCCTTTTTGACAAAGCGCCTTTGAAACTGCCCTGTGAAGGTTTTAAGGGAAATTGAAACGTCACTCTTTAAATGCATCTCCATTCCAGATTTACGTGTTTTTTTTTGTTGTTGTTGTTGTTTTGCTTAAAAGGAACACGCCTTTGAGAGCAGTCAGAAATATAAAGAAGGCAAATACATCATCGAATTAGCTCACATGATCAAAGATAACGGCTGGGATTGACCAGCCGGGAGAAGAATGTCGACCGATCCACGCAAGCGTTCACTCTTCCGACTGAACATTTTATCTCCGAGAGCGAGCAAGTGATTGGCACTCGCTGGGTCCCATGCATCCGGAGGGCTTTGTTGTCGTACTAAGACACACTTCCTTGCACACCCCTCTGCCATCTTGACTGGCGACCGGCTGTCCCTCTTGTCTCTTTGCTTTTCGTATCTTGTTTGTGAGTCAACCTCAAGTTAGGGTCCTCTAGTCTTCCTCTTTCACTGTTCTGGCATTGTGTTGTGTTGTGTGGTTTTGTTTTGTTTTTTAAACAGTGACAAAGGCAAGGAATGAACCCAATGCCAAACCATTTCGCAACTTATGTCTCAGTAGAAACTGAAGATTGCATTTTTGGGGGGAACTAAAGTCAAAGTTTATGGTTCATGAGGGGGAAATCGGCGCTTTGGGTTGTGGGACGGATGAGAAAGATCGAATAGTGTTTCTCTCTGCCCTTTGTCCTTTTAAATCCTGACAAACCATGGCTTGAAACTCGTGGACTGTAAAAAGAGATATATACACCTCATGCCTGCCTATTTCTCTGAGTCTCAAAAAAAATGTAGGCCTCCTAATTTTAGGCTAGCTAGTTCTGGTATTCTCAAACCAAATATCCGTGTCTTTTTGGACTTGAGGTGGTTTTTTTTTTTTTTTTAAATCTTGTCTTTTTGCTAAGCTCGTTGAAAAGAAAGAGGTAAGGGATGTTTTAACATCTTTGGTTTCTGGAGAGTTAGCCCACCCCAAAACTCTGCAGAGATAAGCCTGATTGCCTGGGATGTGTGTCTGTGTGGGGGGTTTTTTTTTGGACTGTAAATCTAGCATCACACAATTGAAGTTCCTCAAGGATGCATGGATTGTGTGTAAAGTAAAAAGGAGGTCAGGGAGAAATGGGGGAGGCAAGCAGAACATAGAGGTGAAGGTAAAAGGGACTCTGTGCCTACTTAACGGATGTCCAGGTCTTAGCAATGCCTGTCAAATCTTAACTATTGCTGTGGGACATCTAGACGTTGAAGTTGCAGCTTCAAAGCATGGTTCTCGGCCTTGTCGTTTTTCAGAGCTTCTCCTCACACAGGAGAGCAGACTTTGGCCACCACATGGTGCAAAGGCAATATTCCAGAGGCTGAAAGTGTTCAAATTTGGGTGAACCAGTAGGACCTGGGAACCATCTCCTCCGGTTCCATCCATTCCTTCACTCCTGTTTTGGAAGGGTTGAGAAGTACGCTTTTGCTTCCCACTTCCTGCATCTCAGCCACCACCTTTCTCCTCAGTGGCCTTCCAGAGGTTTAGCTCTGGTGGTTAGCTCCTACTTTGTTGAGGATGTTCTTGCACGCGACAGTAGGAAATTGGGTCTCTTGAGATCCTACTTTGTGGAGGATGCTCCTTGCACACAACAATAATAATTTGGGTGGCGTTGCTAACAACAAAATCAAAAGGGCTGGTCGCTTCCACTAAAGAGCATAAACCAGACTTGGCCGAAAAGTCATTTTGCGCTGAAAGAAAGCATCGTGTTCTCTGTGATTAGAAAAAATAAATAGAATAAATAACTTTATAATAGGGAGCGGGGCAGCCATTCCTGTCACTAACATCTCCATCTTCTCTTAACCCTCCTGGCTGATCAGAAGAGGACCCAGCCAGAAGGTTGAGCATGCATGGTGGTCCTTTGTTGGATCTGATCGTTGAGGTTCAGAAGCTTGTCGGAAAGGGATCCAGTTTCCCAGGTTGCAAAGCTGGAGAAATCCCTGACGTATGTCTCTGGGTGGCTTAAAAGCTATCTTTGCCCCACTGACCTAGCTAAGGATTTAATTGTCTCTCCAGCTTTGCAGGAGATAAGTCTGAATGACGCTGTGGATAAACTGAAGTCTGGAGGTAGACTTATCCAAGGCAACGCTTTCCTGGAAGTCACTCCTGTTGGGTTCAAGGAGAGCTTTGGGGTCAGATGAGAGGCTGAAGGACCTTGGGACAATTCTTGGAAAAATTCTAGGGCTGTGTTTCTGTTCCCCCCTCCCCAATGTCCTCCAATTCCTGTTGTATTTTATAGGATGGGTCAATAATGGCCTGAAACTCTTCTGCCCTTTGACCCGACATGTAATACAGGGCTAATCTGAACGGCATTGACTTTAATCTCCCTCGATTATTGTTATTTTTTTCCTAGTCTGTTTTTTTTTTTCCTTCGTTTTCATTTGCCAGGGGGTGGAAATAGTTCCTTTTGGAATCCTCTGGAGGGCAAAAAAAAAAAATAGCCCACGTTAGAGAGAGAGAGAAACATTCTGTAACTGGAAGAGAAAAAATAAGTTCTGATTTTTTTGACTGTTGTTTGGGTGTCTCTTTAGAGCCCTTTTTGGGAGGAATAATACCCAGATTAGCAGAAAAATGAGAGAGCCGGAAGATGAATTGGATGGTCCCACAGATAGAGACTGGGTGGGGGATCTTTATTTTGTCACTTTCATGTTTCAGGAATTTAACAGTATGCTGGTGTGTTAAGACTGACCTGACTTCCAAGACTTGTTTCCAGCTTCCAGAGGGGAGATTGAAGAAGAAAGGGTGGGCTTAATCATCAATCGCTACATCGGTGTTTCCCCTTTAAGACCTATGGATTTCAACTCCCAGAGTTCCCGATCAAGCATGGAGAATTCTGGGAATTGAAGTCCACGCATCTTCAAGTAGCCAGGGTTAAAACAACAACACTGATGCAAAGCATGGAACTTCAAGGAGGTTTCTAGTCCACATGACTGTGCAGCGAAGGAATATGGAAGCAATATTTGAGAATATAGTATGGTAGGTGAAGACGGTTGAAAAATAAGATGTTCTGGGTTCAAAGTTTAGATCAGATATAGGACTACTTGTGTGGCTTTGAACTATTTGCTAGTTCTTCTCAGCCAGTCCTATTTTTTAGGACAGGGGTCTTCAACCTTGGCCCTTTTATGACTTGTGGACTTCAACTCCCAGAATTCCTCAGCCTGGCATGCCTGGCTGAGGAATTCTGGGAGTTGAAGTCCACAAGTCATAAAAGGGCCAAGGTTGAAGACTCCTGTTTTAGGAAGATCAGAAGAATTAAAAGAGCACCCTTTGTGCAATCCTGAACTCCTTGCAAAATAGTTAAAAAAAAACAAATACAAGTTTAGGTCCTAAAAGGTATTTCAGATTAAAAATTGAGAAATAGCATATAGAAGGGCTAATTTGTCACAACTTCAGTAGGAATCAGACAGGAACAAATGTTGAGTTGTTTCCAGGGGCATAGGGTATCAGTTGGCTACAGCTTGGCCTAACTACAGATAACCCTAAGCTAACATTAAACCTCATCACGGTTTTGCATCCTTGAGCCCGAGGCTCTGGTAAAATCCAGAATTTCCAGGGCTCGTTATCAATTGTTCAAGAAAAGTATGGCAGAAAAATATCCCCAAATTGCAGAACAAGATGCCGGTCCCTTTGGTTATTATGATTTGTTGCAGAGGGAAACCAGCATCAGGCACACTTGTGTCTTCGGGATGGACACCAATACCACAGCCTAGCTCTATAACCTCAGTACTTGATCTTCCTTATCTGGATAGCGCAGTGTTTCTCACTATCGCCGCAACTTTTAAGGTGGGTGGACTTCAACTCCCAGAATTCCGCAACCAGAGCCAGCTGGGAAATTTGGGGAGTTGAAGTCCACCCCTCTTAAAAGTGGCTGAGATGGCGGGATAGAAGACAATCCTTAAAAATGGTAGTATCCTTCAGCTTCTGAGATGGTGCGGTGGACCTTTGACTACGATGGTGATTTCGGTGCACCGTGTCCGGTTATGTTTTGGAGCAAGTGAACGTAGCTTATTTATTGGAGGGAAAAGGTGAGATTTCTTCACCAGGACCGTGATGGTCGTAGCTTCCAAAAATGGTGCTCAACCATCTAAGGTTCCTCTCTCAGTCAAGACATCTCCATGGGTGCAGACCCAACGTATCAATAGTAAATCCTACAGGTCAGCCCAGGGTATTAATTTGTAATCCAGCTTTCATAAGAGGAGCCATTCAGGCCTTTGGGAAGTTGGACACTTCTAGACTTCAGTTCTAGATCATCCTTCAGTTCAGGTAGAGGAGAGTTCTTCTCAATCCTTGCCTAAAAGACAGCTGGGTGGAAACTGAGGCCTACGTTCTCCACTGGTGACGGGACGGTGTTGTTTGCCATTCCTGAGGTGGCCAGCTAGTTAAGAGGAACGAAGGCAGTTCGGGTGGCATACAACAAATATGTCTTCTGATTAAACTTGCTTCTGATTGAGGCCCCCTTTTGGCATGATAACTATTAGGATCAATAGATTCAAAACCCTTGAATCAATAGATTCAAAACCTTCGTAGCGGAGAGTGCATTGACAATGTGGAGCCACCCCAATCATCTTTTCTTTTCCTTTTCAATCCGTGTTTTTCAAACTTGGAATCTTTAAGACAGGGGTCTTCAAACTCAGCCCTTTTACGACTTGTGGACTTCAACTCCCAGAATTCCTCAGCCAGCGTGCCTGGCTGAGGAATTCTGGGAGTTGAAGTCCACAAGCAACTTGGCCCTTTTACGACTTGTGGACTTCAACTCCCAGAATTCTTCAGCCAGCGTGCCTGGCTGAGGAATTCTGGGAGTTGAAATCCACAAGTCGTAAAAGGGCCAAGTTTGAAGACCACTGCTTTAAGAGGAGTGGACCTCAACTCCCAGAATTCCCCAAGCTGGCTGCGGAATTCTGGGAGTTGGAGTCCACGCCTCTTAAAATGGCCAAAGCTGAAAAACCCTGCTTTAATGGAGGCATGGGCACTCTGGGAAGCTTTAATTCCTTTCTGTGTTTTTTTCTCTCTCAGGGCTTGCAGCTTGCTGTGTAAAAACTTTTTTTTTTTAATTTCCAGGCCAATGCAAGGGACTGTTATTTATTTGATGGGGAGTTGTTCTTGTGTTTACTGCAATTTATTGCAGTGAAAGAACATGTTGCAATGTTCTTATTTTTACTGCAATATTACTACTGCAAGCAAGTTGGAGAAAAGGGAGTCCCCATGTCAGTTTTCTGCCCTGGACAAGGAAAATCCTACAGGTCTCTCCAATATCTTAATCCAAACCAAAGAATGTATCTTCTCCTTTCATTTTTTTTCCTCCTCATGGCTGCCGTTGTGTAGAAAAATCCACTAAGCTGTGAATGGGTCTTACCATCCTAACCCGCTGGTTTATACCAGGGAGCTGTTTACAAAACTCTTTGTCAGCCTCATACAGTTTTTCTAAACTTGGCCCCTTTAAAAGGCATGTGTACTTCAACTCCCAGCATGCCCCAGCCAGCACGGAGAATTCTGGGAGTTGGTCCATACCTCTTAAAAAGCAACCAAGCTAGAGAAATACTGGAACAGAACTGTGTTTTCCCAAACTGGTTTTCCAGGCGCAGGCAATGTAGCAAGGCAGCACAAATTGTCGCACTAACTGCTTTGACATAAACCAGGTTTCCATAGTTCCTAGCTTTTGTTTTGTTTGTTTTAGATCAGAAACCGGTTTGAATATGCATTAGCAATCCTGGTTCTTCAATCTGGGGGTGAAGGGAAGACCCTTGACCCTGTTCCTTTGGTGGCCTCCAAAATCAGCATTTCTAGGCCTGAGGTAATTAAAACTTTGTCCCAGTGAAGTTTCTGTTGGGTCAAACTGATGTGTAAAATACAGAAATAGTATCTGGAGATAAAAGTTTGGAGTGTCCTTCTTTCTACCCAACTACTGTATCAGAGGACCTTTTCCCAACCCCCCCCCCAAATCCTGGTAAAACCTTTGCACCCCAGTAAATCGTCTGTGTTTCACCTCACTACCAAAACACACACTTTATTTTTTTTTCTCCTTTCCAAAGTGTCTGATTTTTGATCAAATGTTAAAGCGGACCAACAACACCAGCTACTGAATTGTGCTTTGTGTAAATGTTACCGTTGGTCTCCTTCCCTGTAGTCTTCACAGTTTGTGGTACACACGGACACGCACGCACACACCCCTTTCAAAATGAAATCGTCATTTGGGGTGTGTGTTTTGGGCCCCGAGATAACTGTGTGCTAAATATACATTTCGTAGCATCATTTCATGGGTGGAAGATGAATCACTGTTTTTCTGCTTCCATCTGAGTCCGTTTCTTTGGCTAAAACTATCTGTTAATCCTATGTAAAACATTCAGGAATTGTATTTTAAATTAATAATATTTAAAAAAAAAACAGAAATAGAGAGCCGGAAAGACGTTAAGGGAAAAAAAGGAACGGTTTTTAACTTAAAAATAAATAAACTCTGCATGGTGGTGCAGATAAATGATATTATTCTTGCAAAAGTATAATGGATATCTTTATCCTTTCCCTAAATGAAGAGACTATATTTCTAATACCAGCCCATCATGTTGGACATCTTTTGTGTTTACAGAACTGTGTATACTTTATACTTTAATATTTAAAAAAAAAATCTCAGTTTTATTTTATTGGTATTTTATTTGTTTGACAATTTCTTCAGGTTTCATTTTGCTTTAGTGATAAATGTTTACTTGTCTGTCTGTTTTTTTTTAAATGGCCTAATTTGTTTTAAACCGTGTCACACGTTGGCATATTATACATACTACTTCAGTATTAGAAGGAAAGGAGCATTGTTTTGTCTGATTTACAACCTATGTTGGTGCTCATTTGAAAGAAAAATAAAATGTTTTCAAATATTAAAAAAAACCACCTTTGTCATGATTTTCAGGCGGGAGGGAAGAAAGAACAATTTTGATGTTGCAGCTAGTCCTCGTTTAGTGACTTTGAAATTGCAACAGCGCTGACAAAGTGGCCTGTGACCGTTTTTTCACACAACCATTTGCAGCATTCCCGCGGTCACGTGATCAAAATTCAGAGGCATGGCAACTCACTCATATTTATGACGGTCACAGTGTCCTGGGGGGGGGATCACGTGATCCCCTTTTGCGACCTTCTGACGAGCAAAGCCAGATTCACTTAACAACCAGGTTACTAACTGAACAACTTCAGTGATTCACTTAGCAACAGTGGCAAGAAAGGTCGTAAAACGGGACAAAATTCACTTAACCACTGTCTCAGCAACAGAAATTTTGGGTTCAGTTGTGGTCTACCTGTAAATCCATTTTTTAAAAAAAAAATTACTCCCCAAAAAGTAGGGGTCTACAAAGGGTCACAAAGGGCAAGATAGAAGCCCAAATTATCCAGCTGAAGCCCCTTCCTTATTAATATTTAGAATAAAAAGGGGCACGTGTTTGATTGCATGGTTGAGGCT